TACGCCTACTTAAATTTGGAAAATTGTCCGTTATGGTTTGGGCATGTATTTCAAGCCACGACGTTGGGTCACTACATTTTATTGATAACACAATGACCGTTGAATCATATTTAGATATATTGAAGGTCCATTTAATTGACAGTGTTAACAGCTTTGGGCTTCAAGGTCCGTATAAGTTTTATCAAGATAACGACTCGAAGCATAAATCGTATTTAGTGAGGAGCTGGTTACTCTATAACTGCCCCTAAGTGATCAATACCCCTCCCCAAAGTCCGGACTTGAATCCGATAGAAAACTTATAGACGCATCTCAAACGAAAAGTGGGGCAAAGGAGTCCAACGAAAAGTGTGGACTTATAAAAGAAGAATGTTCAAAAATACCCCAAGAATATGACATCCTCCAAGTTATTTGCATCCATGAACCGAAGACCACAAGCTGTGATTGCAACGGGTGGTCATACACCATATTAGTCTTAAGTTACTTAAATAAAATTAAATGAAAAAAAAAATATATTTTGTGAAAAACATTGTTTGACAACTTCATTTTATACTTGTTTTTCTTTTTATTGTTATTTTTTTGATTTAAAACACTGAATGTAAAAAAAATTATATTATGAACTTGAAATTAGTTAACAAAAATATATTTGTGAAAAAAAACTTAAAAAATTCTACTTCAAAAGTTTAAATTACGAAGATTTCATAAAAATTTTCAATTTTTTTCAGTATGAAAAGCATTTCTTGATAATGTGTACGTTGTTTTTGTTTTTTTGCTAAAACAATTGAATTTTTCTATTCTTTAGCAATTACGGGGTTGTTAGTCATTAATTTATTTTAATGTTCAAATTGTTTTTGGTTCGTTTTCACAATCAAATTTTTTACAATAATTTGTAGAATTTTATGGTCATTATATGACTATAAATGCTATATAACATAAAATACTTATGTAATAAATTACTTATGTATTAATTTCATTTTCATTTGCCAGGCTTGTCACACAGAATTTTCATTCGACAGATTTGATAGCTCATTCGCCAAAATTTAGACAAATTCGCTAATCATATTCGACAAAAATTTCATATTTCTTCAAAAATTTAATCATAATAAGGGCCTAAAAGTGATTGCAATGTTGTTCTTTGGCCTCTTTACAACAGTGAAAATTTGACTGCAGTTAGTTTTGAGGTGGGTGGCAAGATCTCTTGGTGGGCTTCAACATATTTGCCCTACGATTTGTGGGAAGTGCTTCCATTCAATAATCTGAGAGACTTGTTATAGATATACTCGTTTTCGAGCCAAAAAGCCAAAATTTTAGATTTTTTTTCTTAATTTTTTTTTTAAAAATTCGAAACTATTCTCGAAAATTTGTGGTATTATTTTTATTTTTTTTAATTTCTTTCGATGCGCTAGAATGAAATCTAAAGTTTTCATATAACATTTTCCTCTATCTCTCATAGTTTTGCCAATGCAACGTGCTAACACTTGCGAAAAATGAAAATTTCACACATTTCATACAAATATAACATACACCATAGATTCTACCTATAAAGAAGACCCTGGGTAAGCCTCTAAGCACCCATAAGCTGCTGCTACGCAACACGGTAAGAAGCGCACTAACCTTAGGTAGCTAAATGGAACAACGTGTAATGTGACGAAGAAGCTGTACCCAAAGCAGAGCTTACGTCGCAAACAGTTTATGTAGAACCTGCTGCGACGAAGGGGAGGAAACGGTGACCCACCTACTATGCCCCCCACATAGATTTCTTGGGTCTTCCTTTTTCGGTTAGGTCACGGAATTGGCGGATAAATGTCAGGGATCTTAGCCGATTTGTGAGGAGTTCAGACTGGTATGAATGAGGGGCGGAAAGGGAAATATTCGGCGAACTTAACATTACACGGGTCTGAGTAGCATGGACCTGATGTGTACGCTTCGGTGGGCCACCCTAACGTAACTAAGTAATCTTTTTTTTTCGTATCATTTTGAAAATAGCGTTCCAATAATTTAGTTGCCACTTCCAATTTTATGAAATATCTAGCAAAAAAGTTTTATTTGCAATAGTGTGACCCACATAAAAAAATTCCTTAATTTTGTATATAATGTTGTGTTTATCTAGATACATTTATTCATATAAGATTTTTTTTGTGAAAAAAACATTATCAAACAAGTAATAAAAATTTCGTGGATTATAAAACTCATAAACAAGAAATAAAAATTTTTAGAGCAGAGAATTTTTTCTAAAAAAGCTGATTAATACAATGAAAGTTGAATCACTTTTTTATTTATTGAAAAAAAAATTCTAGCACTGGTTAAGAGAATATCTCTAAAAATCTTTAATAATTTTAAAAATTCTTTAAAATTTATTTTAATATATATATGTATTTGAAGTTTTCTATTTTTCCGTTATTTTTATATAATATTTATATATTTTTTTTTTGATTTTTTGATTTATTTTTATTCTAAATTATAATAATATAAATAGTTTCGTTTGAATCTAAATAAAAGAAACAACTGTCTTTTTTCTTATAATACAAATTTCTTTACACTACTTTATGTAAGTTTTCTCGTTTTACTTTTGTTTTCATATTGGAAATATAATATAAATACGAAGCAGAGTTACAATTAAAATGTATTAAATGAAGTAAAAGAGTACGAAAATGGCTATTGGCGTTTACATTATAATATTTTCCAATAAAAATTAATTTTTTCATTAGAATATCACTGTTTTTGTAAAATATGTATGAGCCAATAAATTGCATATTATGATATTAACAATCACCTGCATTAAAAAAGAGCGAAATACATTTTGAATAATGAATTAAATACAAATCTAAATACTTAAATGCAACTTGGCAGATAAAATTTTATTACCAAAATTTGTGCAAAAGCCAGTTGAAAATAGTTAATTTATTGTAAAAAAAGTATATGTATCAAAAATGTTTACTATATAATATACTAAAATATTATATAAATAACATATTATATAGTAATAACTAAATAATATATAATATATACATATATTATGTATACTATTAATATTACATATAATATATTATAATGCATTAATATATAGTCAAATACGTTATAACTTATTACAACGCCTTTGGTGTAATTGTAATTTGTATTAAATTATAATATACAATATATACCTAAATAATATGTGTAAAAACATAATTGTATGTCTACATATGACAGTACATTATCATACCGTTTCATATTACATTACTAGTTGTTATTGATAAATGTGTATTATTAGATAATTTTTAATCAACGAAATGACTAAGAAATCTATATTAAAATCAAAATGAAATTCTTTACGCTTTATAAATTCTTTTTGATTTTATAATTATAATTGTAATAATTTTAAAATTTGAATTAAAATTTATGTAATTGATGATTGTACAGATACAATAATATTGCTTTATGAGAGTAAACTTTCACTACCATTTCTATTTTAATTGTAACATGTAAAGTTTACTACTAAATAGATAATGTCTTTAGTTTCTAGTTTATGTATTTACATCTCTTTATCTGTAATTAATTAATGAAAATGTCAAAAAAATTTTTGTTTTTTGTTTTGTTATTTTATGCGATAAATGGAAGTTTTATACTTTTTTTTACGATTAAAATATTCAATATCGAAAATATTTCTCGCTTTGGTTTTATATTTTAAATGTTCTATTTTGGATTTTTTTAAATTTATTTTATTCATATCAATGTGTATTATATTATATAATTAATTGTGCGATAAGTTTATATTGAACGTTTATGTGTTAATATTTAAGAAATTATGAGTTCTAGTAATAAAAATTTATTATATGGTAAACAGAGATCAAAATAAAAGAAACTTAGTAAATATTGATATTAATATAAAAATTTATGCTAAAATGCAGTTTCTAATTTATAAATTATTAAGCGCAATCTTTTAATATCTTAGTACATAACTAAATATACGCTGGAATTACAAATGAAATGACAAATGTCATATTTCTTATTATTTATGAATCTTTCCCAAATTGAAAATAAACAATTTCAGATATATTGGAATACGAACGTGATATAGAGAGATGAAAACTATTGCGAAAAAATTTATTCAATTTAACTTAAAGGGCTATTAAATTTCATAATAATTATTAATTTATGTAACTAAAGTTTTCAAATTATAGGAAATAATAATTTATTTATTTTATAAAATGAATTCCTTCAATCAAGTATTAAGCATAAGTTCAATGAATCACTGCTTAATTAACCTAAAAATCATTTTTATGACATATGTAAATGTTTAAGCAACGAATGAACCACATATATTTTAAGCAACGAAAGTTATGTGAGTATCAAAATGTGTTATTTATTGGAATATTCAAGGACAAAATTTTGCAGTGTTTAACACTAAGAGTGTCGTTTGTCCAAAAGAACTTGATTTAAATAAGGATGAATGGCTTCAGTTTAATTTTTTTTCAAAATTTCTCTTTGAAAATTATTTAAATGTTATGTTACATATGTACAATGAACATGTTTAAGTATAAGTATTATTGAAATTGTGTAGGTAATTTTTAAATCTTTAATAACAACAAAATATTTTCAATATGAAATATTTTATCAGCTTTTAATTAAAACGACTAAATTAAATTAAGTTACAAATAATTATTATATGGTTAATATATGCATAAATAGATAAATTGATGTGTATACATATGTATTTATAAATGTATATGCATATGGGTATAAATTGAAATAATATTATTTATCATAATTTAATATTGCAATGTATAAAATATTTTATTTTCCTACAATATTAGTAAATGTTAATACTCAATCGTGACAGAGCACTAAATTTGTTTTTATTATATAGCTGTATATTATACACATACATTTATATATGTATATAATTATTTTTTATAAATGCATGCATATGAAATAATTTTAAAACTTCACGAGCATTTATACATTTTATTTTGTATAATATACATAATATGCATTTTTTCCATATATGAACATATTTAAATTTGTTTTAAATCTCTATTCATATTTTTAATATTTTAATACTAAATCCCTAACAATGTTTTATCTTCTTATCGTATATTACTACAATGTTAAGTATATGTACATATATGTAAATATATATATATATATATATATATATACTATAAAATACAAAAGTATGTCCGATAATGTATTTTTATATATGTACATATTTATAGTTATAATGTTCCTATGTCATGTTATATGATGCTTACTATATGCAAAATTTAAAATATAATATAAAAAACTTAAAATCCTGAGTCACCTTTTAATTTGTAAAATATTTTATAACATGCACTATGATAGGCATTAAAAACCTTCAGCTCAACTAATTTCAATAATCTTATTTCGTAACAAAAGATTAATTTTTTAAACAATTAGTTTATTATAGGATTTAAGTTAATTTCTATTATTTCTTAGATAGGGAACGGATATGCTTTTTATTTGATTTGTACAATTTAATATAATATTAAGCGAAATGTTTATTGCAGTTGTAAAGTTTTGAGAATTACTTTGTTTCAATTTAAAGAAAAATTGCTTTTTTTTTGCAAAAAATTTCAAACCGAATATTTAACATACATGTAATATCTGTGAAATAAATGACGCCCCGAGTTGGCATTGAAAATTCGAAAACATCTTATTACCAGCGTCATGAAATTAAAATGCACAATTTAAACAGGTATCTCAAAACCAATTTTGCAAATGATATTAGATTGTATAAATAAAACACAAATATTATAATAGTGACAATGCCGCTACAAAATCGTTGAATTATTGACGTTTTATTTTATTCAGAATTTATGAAGATTTGAAAATTTTAATTTTCATAAATATTTTGAAATATGAAAAAAATATGTACTTAGATATGTTTATACAAAAATAAAATTAATATTTAATTTAGGATGCAATTTTATTTTTTTCAATTATAAATAATTTTGAATAAATTTTCATTAGCTATTCAAGAACTGTATTTTTAACAATTAAATTTTGTTCATAAAAATTGTATTAAAAACTACATACATAGTTTGTCATTTTGTTAAGCATTACATTTTGAATTTAAAAAAAATTTAGGAAAGTTCGCTTTCAGTAAGTAGTACACAATAATATATCTCAATAGTGCATATTGCATGCAAGCTTTATGTAAGTTCCGCTTTTCTTTTTTTTTAATTTAGAAATTTCAATACTGAAGTCGCATTAATCTGTAACTTATTTCGCGAAAAACTATAATCGGCGTATGAAAATTTGCAGAATATTAAATAACCAAGAACTGACTCTTAGTATTTAAGTATGTATGTAATATGACAAATTCAATTTATGCTGAATGCTCCCTAGTTCCCTTAGTTCCGTTCCCTAATTCTAAGTATTTTATATTTTCAAAATAAATTAAATATTATAGAGAATACCCTTTCAAATCAAATTTTCAAAACTTTATACATATTTAATTAATGTATTATATCAAAATATCTGAAATAAAAAAAGTTTGATCTCATAGGTTTTGACATTTAAGTTTAGAAATAAAATATTTTAAAAATTTTTTATCAGAATTTTCACTTATACTAATTTAGTATAAATATAAATATTATTTCTTTAACACTTCTATAACTAGGTTATTTTATAATTATTTTTGTTTCATTTGTTAATATTTTAATATTCTTTTTTATGGTATTCATTTTAATTAAAAAAATTTATCGATACAAGTAATATTTATGAACTTTTATTATTTAATGATAATATGTATAATATATTATTTGACCTAGTGTTTTTTAGTTTTCTTATAAGATTTATTTAATTGTATTTGAATATTAATATCATGTTTCAGTTTTATTACTTTTAATTTTTTTTGGTTATTTTAAGAAATTGTCATTTTTCATGTATGCCCTTATATAATGTAAATATAAATTTAATTTTGCTTTTTTTATATAAATGTAATTTTAAATAGTAATTATATTTTAATATATTGTATTTTTGTATATTTAATAACTTTCATTATCATCCCAGTCAACTGATTTAAGAACTAACATATCTAGCTCCTTGTTATCTCCAGAACTACTACTACGCCGGTGCCGATTGCGATTTTGTCGTCGACGGCGATTTAAATTGGTCAATTTACGGTTTAAATTTGCAAAATTTTCGTTTAGCATGTGTGTTGAAAATATTCCTGAAGCCATTCCACGTTTTTGTGGTTGCGGTTGTTGCTGTTGTGTTTGTTCGTTTTGAACTTTAGCCGTAGAGTTAGAAAAATTTAAGTCACCAATAGGTAAAGTAGCTGTAGTTATCGCGGAATAATCATCACTATCATTTTCATTATCATTCTCAATATTATGATCGCTATTTAAAGATAAATTAGATATTGCTAAATTTTGATCAATTATTTTATAACAATTATTATCTAATCCGGTTAATAAACTATTATCACTTTTAAAAGCATTAAGTAAACGATTACAATTTCGTCCCGTTGATGTTAAAGCGCCCGATGTACTTGTGGCAGAAATAATTTGTGAAAAATTTTCTCCTGTTGAGAAATTGCTACAAATTTTAGTTGTTTGTATATTCGATTTTTTTGACTCTGCATTACGATTTGGCTTGTTAGTTACAGTTAGTTTTTTATTTATACTTGCATTTTCATTTAAAAATGTTTGTAGGATAAATGAACTATTTTTTTTAGGTATATTATTGTATATCTGCTTTTTGTGATGATCTCCAAGATATTCATTTGGTTTTTGATTTAAATTAGAGGAAGATATGAGGGGCATTGATTTCGTATTGCATATCAATCAATCACGATATATATAACTGCAATTTTTTGGGCTTTCTTGTGGACTAGGACTACTGGATGGCGGTGCTGGACTAGAACTGCTATGGGATACTGGTGAAGAACCAGAACTAGAATTCTGTGGACTTGTTGAACGATGTTGAGTTACTGAAATTAAAATAAAATGTTAAAACAATTTTATTTTTCTTATTATACCATATTATGTTTTTATTTTTTTTTATTTATTGATTATAAAAAATGCTTCACATTAGGGTCTAAATGTAAAAGTTTTTTTTAAAAATGGATTATAGCAGGATGAAGGATTGTGTGTTTGATTGCAATAATTCAGATATTTTTGTTCTTACAATATTTTTTTCATATTGATATTTAGACGGAATATAACGTTAGAAAGATTACATATCTAGATTATGTATAACATTTCTTGGTAGAAAACTAAACTCTATAGATAAGTGATAATAATTATTTTTGTTAGATTTATTAGAAGTAAATATAACAAGGAAATTAAGTAAAAATTGATATATTTTTATAATTTTTGTATCAATTTATTTCCTCATTTAGGACTACTAAAGTCGACATTGAAACATGAATTTTTTAAATTTTCCAACTTTTTCTTTCGTGGCCATTGAATATTTCTTTTAACTATATAAATTAGTGCTTTCACCATAAGCATTTATTTATACGTTGGGAAAATCTGGTACCTTTTTTCAACAGACTGTAGATCCAAAACAAGCATATCTGCAATCCCCTGCGCCCCTTCAATTTTTTGCTGGAAATTGATCATTCCAGAAATTATTTGCCATTTTATGCGAAACACTCTCTATATCTTCTTTTAATTAGAAATACATCTCTTTAGAAGAATATTTTAATGCTTTTATTGAGAATTGAGAATTTTTTACATCTGAGAGAAAAATTTTATATAAAAAAATTAATAAGGTATACATTTTTTTATTCAGTTTGAATTGCAGTGTAAGGAATAAGTAACATAGTGCCTATAATAGTGAAAAAACTTTTACAACTATATAACTGTAGTATTAATATCGTAGTAAAACTTTAAAAGTGACTGTATTGTAAAAAAAATGCAAAGTAGTTTAAATATAATTTTTAATTGAATAACCATAAAAAATCTGTTTTGACATATAGTAAAATGGTAGTTTCGATTTTGTTACTAAGCTGTTTGCTTTTTTACTGCGTAATTAAAACGCATTTTTAGCAATTTTGATCTTGCTATATTGTATAAATTTTTTATTCTACAATATGAATCACAGATACAATATAGTACTACATTAATTTTGCATTTTGGATGCCGAGGTTATTGTTTGGTGTTTATGTAATATAACGTACATACAATTTTTTATTTAGTTATTTATTTGCATTGTATATTTTATTTATAAACTTTAAAACGAATTCAGCTAAACAGCTAATTTTTTAAACAAATTTTACGCGTTTTATAAAAAAGTTCTATTTCTCTTCGGCTTGTTTTGGTTAAAACCTGACAACTCTAAAATGTAAGTATTTATATTGTATATTTATAAGTATAAAATATTGTTAATGTTTTATTAATATTATTATTATATATTATCATATTTTTATGTTTGTTAAACACATACATGGGTTTTAATTTTAAATTTATTGTTTTTTAGCATAAATGGGTCTAAAATGAATCGCTGCCTTCTACGAGTATATCTCAATATTTATTCTTTATTATTTTTAATAATGAACTGTAAGAAGAATCAATTTTTTAGCAATTCAATCATTTTCAGAAGTTAGAGAATATTGTACATTTTATGGTTAATATATTAAGACTTTCTGTGTGTATTTAGTAATTTTAATTTTATATTTTAAAACTTCTTGTCAGTGTTATCGAAATTATAAAATTCTAAACATATATATACATATATATATAACACGCTACAAAAACAAGAAATGTTAAGAAAAATTGGAAAGAGCCAACGTTACAAAATAAGATGGAGGAAATTAAGATTGTATTAAGATGACAAAACAACATTGGATCAAACAATACATATACTTATAAACATGAATAAATTATTTACTCATTTTTTTTCTTACTTACAATTTGTTAATTTTAGTATTAACAAACTTACCAATGCCATGACGGGGCGGCTGCCTCTTATTAATGCGGCCAAGACTTCTGTTTCGTGTATTTGTGTTAAGACCCTATATGTGAAAGTATTTTATTTTTTTTTTGATTTTGTTTGTCTTTTTTTATTACATTTGTTAAAAAAACTAAAAATATAAAAAAACAAATTCAATTCTAAAAATCACATTTTTTTAACAATATATCACAACAGCGAAAATAATTTTAATAATAGAAAAAAAAAACTAAAAGAAAATTAAATAACAATATCAAATATAATAATAGGTTATACAAAAGTTCTTGATTTTCTTTATCATAAATATTGAATATATTTAGATAAAATAGGAAACATTTAAATTCAAGTTTAAATAGAATGAAAACTACAGAATCTTTAAATATCAATTAAGCGAAGTTTATACCATATATGGGGAATGTATGTTCTTTTTTTAAAAAAAAATTATTAATATTGCTTTATTAATTTTTGTTGTTAATCTACTACAAAACTTGGACTTTAAATTTAATCAAAAATATAAGTTTTTAATCGATTTTATAGAAGAATAATAATATCCTGTTTAAGATACGATTTGCTTAGAAAAACTTTGCAAATCTGCCTGAGCAATGTAAAACAATGAGGCAAATATTTTTAAATGAGTTTTGCGTTGAAATAGTCCTATATTTAGTTATATGATATTATCGTATTAAAACATACAAATAAAAAAACACTATTTACTTTCATTAGCATATACATAAAACCAAAATACAAACTTTGTGAACATCAAATACATAACCATCAAAATTTCCAAAGTTTTATATAGTATAAACTGTGCTTAAGAGTTAAAACAATGAAAATAATTATTAATAAGCTTCAAAATTTTGTTGCAAACATTTTGTTTTATTGCGTTTTTTTCCATTTTTTTTTGTCATATTAGAAGAGTTTTGGGCGAGGGATGGCTGAGATATTTGTGTTTTTATATACATTCAATTTTTTTATCATTAGCTTAAATGTAAGGTGACATTTATATTCGATGTTTGCATCCCAAAGTTCCGAAAAAAAAAGTGAAATTAAATAAAAGCATTAAAAAAAACACAGTTTTTATTAAACGAATTTTTAAAATAAATAAAGACCAGATAAGGCCAATTACAAAGAAACAGAAAAAAGATAATTTCAAAGGTTTAAAAAAATGAATTTTTATTAAGTAAATTGAAATAAAATGTTTAAAAAAAATAGAGAGGTTAATAAACAGTGATTAGTAAACAGTGAATTTAATTAAAAAAAAGAAGAATATTTGAATTTAAAATTTTCGATTAATGAAACTGATATGTTAGTATGATAATCAGTTTTATTTTTTTTTAATTTTGAATATTTACCATATTTTGGGTAATTAGTCCCTGACTGGTTTCAGCCGCCCCACTCCCGTCTCAAAGATATACCTGATAGCGAAGAAGAGAAAAACAAATTAAAAAATAGTTGTACAGAATGTGAAATAATGATTAGAAATTTTAACTAAAATAACAAAAAAATGTTAAAGAAGTAGAAAACAACACTATTTCATAATTGAGATAGATATATATTTTTTTAAGTCAAATAGAAGAAAAATGCACACTTTAAATTAAATCAGAGAAAAAATTCATTTTGAGGAAAACGTTTTAATCAAAAAAAAAATTTTAATTACGCCGAAAATATTTTTTTTGTTTATAAAAGTTATCCTATAACTCGAATTGTCTCAAATTGAATGTCTTCTTAACTCAAAAAAAATTTCAGTTCCCATGAAAGTAAATTCTCTTTAACTCGGAAAATTTCAAAAAATTTTGTACAAAACATATCATATTTTTAATTCAAACCGAAAATACTAATGCAATTAAAGTTTTTTTTTCGTTAAAAGTACGTACATATGGGCATATAATATATTTTATATATACCTACATGTACATGTATTATATATTTATAGCTATAAGGGCTAGAGACATGGGACAAAAGGCATTAGATAGGGTTTTGCATCTAGGGTCCCAGAAAAATTTGACATTGGAACCTTTTAGCCCCGAAATAGCTCTATTTTAAGATTTTTTGAAAAAATTTTGTATAACAAAAGCACGTTTTTCTTTTATGCTTTAAATTATGTTATTAGAAACACAAACCGACAAATAAATAATATTCGAAAGTATAATGATATCACATATTTTAAGTTCGAAAAACCGAAATAAGCTTAAATAAATGTCGACTTTTATCAGACATCAGATGTTTTGTGGTATCTGAATATTAGTGCTTCATTTGTTGTTGTTTTGAATATTATGTTTTGTAAGCAAGCTTTAAAAAATATATATACACAATTTATGTACGTATTTACTTAAACTTCATTTTTATTTTCGAGCGAAAAACTTTAAAATGCTTAATTCTAATACATTCATATGTTCATGCATATATTCAAATAAAATTATTATTTTCTTTTTGCCTAAACCTTTTCTTTATAAACCTTTGAAAAACCTTTGAAAAATTTAATTCTATATGTTTACCCCACTGATTTAATAATTATGTGTTTAAAATATATTTTTTTGTGCCAAACCACTGTTTTAAATATTATTCAATTCATATTTTATATAAAGCTTAAAAAAAATTGATAGGAAGCTTTAAAAAAAAATATACATACATATTTATGTACTTAAAGTTTTTGCGAATTTTTCCAAACTATTATAACATTTTTTTTTTGTAAATTTTTCTTAAACTTTTATAATAATATTTTTCTGTTATATATTAAAAATATAAAGCAAAAAATTTAAACAAAATACAATAAAAAAAATTATCAAAAAAAAGGAAAATACGACAATATCAATCAAGCATCGATCTAATAATCTTCTGGTTATCAGACTACCCACCAGGTTTCGCAGTACCTTGTACCTAATGTTGCCTTTACAATTCTTTAATTTATTAATATTTCGTATAACTCGTCAAAAACCATTCTATATTACGTTATATATGTAACCACTTCTCAGGTGTCAAAAAGTACGGGTACTTCTAGAAGGACTAGAGACATGAGACAAAAGGCATTAGATAGGATTTTGCTTCTAGGATCCCAGAAAAATCAAGAATTCCACCCAATCTCTCCCTACACACCCTTCCATATAAATATTGTATATGAATTAATTTCTGGAAGTGTAAGTTATAACATAAAGTGAACAGAGTAGGAGCAGCTATAGCCGCAGGAAGTCAAGAAGAAAAAAGAATTTAAGCTCTTTTAGTTATAGCATCTAATATAACTAATCCGCCAATAACTGTTATTTCCAATAACAAATTGTAAAGAGTATCGCGATCTGCTGCAAAATGTATTAGTAAGCAAAACAAAAGTGTACATTAAATTTCTTGACAATATATTTTTAGGACAAGATTTAATAAAAAAATGTTTTTTTATAGCATTAAACTTTTACAAATAGGATATTTTCAAATTTAGTGCGGAGACTCGCTGATATTGATTTGTAAAGGTTAAGTTTTTTAATTTAACTTTAAATAAGAAATATATATATTATTAGTATTAGCAAATTACGCATTTACCCGTTTTTTTGCATGTTTTGTAAGATCGCTTAAAGTACTTATTGTCAAAGGTAGTTTACAATTTTATCCGACATAACTTAAAGCGAGGTTGTAAAATAAATTACTCAAAAGATATTAGATCTCATAGGAACTATACTTATTTGTTTAATTATATACTTTTTTGTAATTATTTTTAAGAACTTTTCTTATAAGTTTTATCTTATTATTTATTAGGGAAAAAAATAAACTTGAAATAACTCACACACAGAAGTGGAAAACAATTTCAAAACTACAGACATAATACTTGCAAGGGTTGCGATGCAAGCACGCATGACTAGTTATATTATACGCATACATACATACATGTATTCATATGCATATAATATAAAACATGTATATTAAACGTGAATGTTTATTATATTCATGTTAAGATGTTATACATATAAATAAGCTTGTTTAAGTTTTGGTTTAAAAATTTGAGTGTTTTTTTTTAAGAAATGTTATTCTCAAATTAAAAAATATTCTTCAAAACGTGTGTCATACTTACTTCGTTTGAATTTATACGACTTGTTTTTTCGCTTCAACTCAAAATCTCCATAACTTGAACAGTATTAACGTTTCCGTGCGGCCTCGAGTTATAGAGATCCCACTGTATTTGTTAATTACATAATGTATCATTTACTGGTACATATACGTAATGGTACATTACAATATTATACATATACATGTATATATACAATATGTATTTCAAAAATTTGTCAAAAGTATTATAGTTTCGTAAAGTGAGACCAAAATTATTTTATTTTATATTTTTGAACAAAAAACATTGAGAGCACAAATTACATAAAAATGCTCTAACTCACCATTAGTAAATAAATAGTACCTAAATATATAGTTACACAATGATATAACCTTTAAGATTTGAATTAGCTTTTCCTATGAGTCGTTTATTAAATACCAACTTGTATTTAATAAACGATACATAGGTTAACAATGTAGTAACTGGTACAATTTAATAAAGTTGGGTCAAACCAATGGTTTGTAATGTAGTGCTTTTCTCTTTAACAAGTGAAAATGCTTTAAAAAATAATCTATGTGGCTACTACATTATTAATATTACTTTCATTCATATGCGAATATATTGGTTATCCCAAATGTATGCAATTTTTGAAACAAAACAAAAAAAAATTTAAAGAGGGGTTAACATAATTTTCGAATTTGAGGTTTAATTACGTGAGTTAAGGAAAATAATTATATTTTTTAATTTAATGACATTTACCGTTACCTTTCTGCAATTATAGAAATTTGGAAAAGTTTTCAGTTTCGATAATGTGGTGCCAAAAATTCGAATTTTACAATTTTCAACAGGCGATTACTTGATAGGGAGTGGAGGTGAAAAAAAAATTTAATTTATTGAAACAAACTATTTATCAGTGTCTAAGAGTTGCTAGAACTTCAAATTCCCCAACCTCAGGTTTAGAAAAAAAACACATCAAAAATTTGGAAAAAACGCATTTTAGATAACGGTAAATTTTAACGGCCATTTAGTTTTTTTTAAAGTTCAAGCATGGTATGCCACGGGAAAAGAAGCCAGGCACTACTTTCCTGCGTTTGCAAAATTTGAAAAATACTTATACTGAGTGAAACTAATAAGCACTTTTTTCAAATTTTTTTTGGAAAAGAGCTAAAAAGTAGAATTTTTTTTACTACACCAAAAAGAATTTTTTACTTCCGAACAAAAAAATTCCTAACGTTGTAAAGAAGCTCTTTTTTAAACAGAGTTTAATCTAGGGATGAGGTGTTAGACGAACAAACTGAAGTAAAAGAGACGTTCCGATCTAACCTAAAATGCTGTGACATACCTCCGTTCATGGAATGTAGACAAAAAAATACGATAGAGCAAAACTAATGGTTAGTCAGTTTGACTAGTTTTTGGCGTTTATGACCATCCAAGAGCGTTTTAGGTTAGATTAAAGTCCCCCAGTGTAGATAGGCCTGATGATAGTTTGGGTACGCCTATCTTTGTCTTTCAATGATTTTTAACACCTGTACTAAAGAAAAAAAAAAAATTGTTTATTTAATTTCATACGCATACGATGCTTATTTTTAACATTTTCGTGCACCAAACTGTAGAAGCTTTAAGGTATTGATGCATTTTCGTAGACGATTTTTAGATGATTTTACATCGATGCTGCTACGTTTTCTTTTCGATAATCCTCTATTTTTATATGACATAAATTCAATTTACTTGCACATTAATAAAAGTATTTAAATTGGCAAGAATTTATACTTTAGAAGTAAAAGTAAAGAAAAACCACGAAATTAGTATTTTACATTTGCATAAAAAAATTTATAAGGTCTCGTAAAAAAGGCCGTCATGAGTAGACAAAACTTTTGTATGGAGACGATGTTCACAACTCAACAGGTTCGGAGTTACGAGGGCTAAAAGTCAATTTCCATTGATTTTTTTACTTTTTGAAATTTTAAGTATAACTCTGCGACTGTGTAAGACAGAGGCATTAATAAATATGATTTGGAAACCTCAGAATATAGACCTTTCAAATGAATATCGACATTAGTTATAATGTGTTCTAATTTTGGAATCACATAACTTATTTTACGAAAAACTTGAAATTTTAACTTTTTATTTTTGAAAAACGTTAATTTTCTAGGTGAAGTAACATTGGAGCTTTCAATTTTAAGGTGGCAACCTTAATAACTGAGCTACAATTTGGTGGATGACTCAACACGCTACCTGATCTGATCTAGGAGTTATTGAGAATAATAGAGTACTGTAAATGCTCTTTTATACCAAATTTTTTCCTTCAATGACTTAAAAAAATGAACAGCAACCGTTCAAAATGGTGTCTCCGTTCTGTTATGCAAATAATCAACTTAACAATCGAGTTTTTCTCACATTTGCCTTTAACTTTAAGCCGCTGTAACTCCGAACCTGTGGAGCTGTGAGCATCGTCTCCAAATTAATGAAGCGAAATCTGTACATATCAACTTTACTAATAAGAGAGAAATTAATACTATTAGAATTCAAATAAATGACAACGATGTTCCATATTAAAATCAAGCTAAATATCTTGACATAACGCTTGACTGCAAGTTAAAGTAGAAAGGGCACATTAAAAAAAAGAAAGAGAAAATAAATATAAAATTAGAGAATATTTTATATTTCATCTAATTATGGGGCTGTGCGAAAAAAACTAATATAAACATACTACAGTAAGTACAGAATAGGACACTCAGGAAACGTAGTATGTTAAAAACAGCATCATACACCGTGACCTCAATATACCAACAGTGGCTGAACAGCAAATCATAAAAATATTGAAATATCAGCAATCATTTAAGGCCCTTCCCGAGCATACAGAAGACTTAAAAGAACAAGACCATTGAATTTAAACATACGCAGAAGATTATAAAACTATATTAGGAGAACTTATGATTGGATGACGACTCCGCACACGCAAATTAAATATAGATATTTAAATTACTAGATAAGCTTGTATAGGCTTATTGTAATCATACTTAAAAAAAATAAAAAAAAAAAATTTGGAATGAAAGAATGTATGTATTCTCTTATTTATTATTTATAAAATAGTAAATTTGTTTTTTAATATTTTAACTCTAAAACTAAAGTCTATTCATATATATACTTTAGATTTAAATAATGAAGTTATTTTTTAATAACATGTATTACGTTCATATATTGATATAAGTTTGCATTTTCAAAAACAAAAAAAAAGTATATAAAAAGCTTAAAATAGCTAGTATTAGAAAGGTTAGAATCAATATTTAAGTTACAAGAATTATATAAGATACTTAGATGGGATTTAGAGTTGGATATGTACATAGATATCTGATACGTTCCCTTTTTTGACAATTGTGCATAGCTTTGCTAACACTCCGTCAACATGTACATATGTATGTACGTTAATAACCGAAGCTACTAGCACGATTTTTTAAGGTATATTTTCCAGTGAAAAAAAACTTTTATGCGTTACAAAAATCACAATGCAAAAGAAAGACATAGTATACGGTTTAATTCATGAGGGCAATTTCAAAGCATCGCAAGTTTACTATGTAGCGCTGCTTTCGCTACACTATGTAAATCGCATATCGCAAATTTGCCTACGCGAAAGTAGCAAAAGTTGTATAATACTACAGAATTCTACTTTCGCATACTTTTTAATACTTTTCATTCACTTACAAATTTTGTGTACGAATCTTATTGCGGAAATCTAAATTTTCGCAAAATTAAAATTAAACAATGTTAATGTTATATTTATTTTGATTTGTTTAATTAAAACTCTCATTTCAAATTTAATACATTTAACTAAATTTTTGTAATCAATAATTATAATTATTAGTCAAAATTAAATACAGAACCATATCGGTTCTCAATAATGGTAGAATTCGTGCATTGTTCGATATTTGTTGTGCTCCTCTTTTCTCGAAATCGCTCCTGTCCAATTTTACTTTTATGGGGCTTAACTTTTTTTCTATAACCTTACAAACTTTTGTTGTAATAAGTGAAATAGTTTGTTGAGCAAGAGCAATATTTAAATTTTAACCTGCCTGTTAAAAATCTTTGTAATCCATATTTTTTTTTTAAATTAGCAATAGGCACCTCCTTAATATACATTTAAATTTAATTTATAACTATTTTAAAATAGTTCAAAGGTTTAGTTTAAAAAATTGTCAGTAATATCAAAAACAAAAATTTAAAAAATACTGTCAGATTAAGTTTTTTGCTATGCGATTTTGTTACACAGTACCAAACCACTTGCGAGTCTCGCATTTTTTCAAATAGCCCAGCAGGATTCAATTCAAAAAAATACCTAAAAACTTTTTCAATTCAAGTACTTTTGTTTACAAATTCTAAATATTTGTGAATAAAATACTAAGAGAATACATATATTATTTCATACAAAAAAATTAAAAAGGAAAATAATTTCAATTTTATCAATGTTCAGTTATAAGTAAAATTTAAGTGAGAATTTAGAAAAATCTCAATATCTGAGAAAACATATATGATGGAACTAATAATTCTGTAAACAGTATTTAGGAAAATATGGCCAGTAATTTAGTAAATAGAAAAAATTATAAAAACAAAAAAAAAGGAAATTTTTTAAGTTGTTTGTACGAGGTTTTACGTTTAAATGAAAAGAAAACATTTTTAACGAAAATAAATAATTTATAGCTCACAACAAAGCTGCTACTTCAAAAATATTCTCTAGTAGTTACCTAAAATAATGTTAGTGCATTCTCATGTACTTAAAAGCGTTTCAGTGAACAAAATAAGTGTAATATTGGAAGTCAAGGATAATAATTTAAAAAAAATTCTATTTATAGAAGCTAAACTAATAACGAAAAAATTTTAAATTAAAATCTAGTTGGAATGAAAACAACAATATCTACACTAACTTTTAGCCAGCTACTAAAATTTTGTTTTAGTACATAATAAGACAATTTTATCGTCTATTATGCAATTGAAAAAAAAATAAGAAACAAAACAAATAAAGTTAACATAATTGTTATTTGGTGCCAGTATAACTATTTTAGAATTCATTACTTTTAATATTTCAACGTGAATTTATTCAGCATTCCTTAATTCTAAAACACCAAACATATTGTTTATTTTATGCCCTAATACATACATAACTTTCATTCATCAAAATATTTTTTTATTTTGTGATCACTTACTTTCTTAACGCTTCTTGTTGTAGAAAAACCATCACCTCGACGGTAATTGTCCCCCTAAAAGAAAACATATTCAATTAGATTCACTTAAATGCATATAGAAGGATATTTGAAAAAGTACACCTATGTACGTACATTATACGTAACGCACCTACACATAAGTTTAAAAAACTTAAGTTTCATGATTAAGATAACAATCTTTTAAATTTTTCTTTTGAAGCACAAATTGTGTTGGCATGAACCAGTATTTTAAATAAATTTTGGGACAGTACTTAAATTCACTATTTAACACAGGGTTGCAGAATCGAATATAAAACTTTTGAATATTTATTACACATTTTCTTAAATTTAAATTTAGTTTATATAAGTGCCAAATATGTTTAGAGAAAGCTGGAACGTTTTCAAAAAAACGAACGATTTTCAAAATGGAAACTTAAAAATTAAAATTTTTCGTACTTTGAAATCATGTATTCATCATTTTAAGTGCTTGTTCTGAGCTTTCTAAAACATATTAGAGATGATTAGATCTGGCGGAAACGGGTTTATACTTAAAATTTTGAAAAGTAATAACAAACAGTCGCGAGTGACAATAACATGTAGCAATGCGCAAACAATTTAGAAACATGTTTGCATGCATATGAATATATCTCAGACTTATCTACGAGCATAGGACCTCAACTCATACCATATTTGAGCTTCTTTTAAATTATAAGAAAAAAAAATTATAAAATTTATGTAAAAAATTTAATTTCTTTAAAGTTAAAAAAACTAAAATTGAATTAATGTGGTTTTGTTTTACTTACACATACTTGATGGGATCGTAAAGTGCCAAAATTATCCCGGCAGCGATATGTATCACGCGTGTTATAGTTATCCGGTTGAAATTGAAAAAGTGTCTCCGAATTTGGCCCATGATGATGCATTGGCGGTGGTTTCCGTAATGTATTTTTCGGTGAATGTTGTATTTTATTCTGACTAGAAGCTTGAGGTAGAAGCACAGGTTCTGCGTAAGTTACTTCCTCAACTTGAGGCAGTAACTTCGGTTCAGCTTGTATTCTGTTGGAATAAAATAAACTTTTTATTTGACCCCTTTTCGTAAGGTAAAATTCATATAAAGTTAAAAACCTTAATTTTTAACATATTGTAAAAATTCACCTGTTAACATTTTGTCGTTGCTCAAAGTACTCATATTCGGTATCGGGATACGGTAAATTATCATCTTCATCTTTATGACATCGACGCCCACAGAAGTATCCTGTAATAAAGCCAACTAAAAGAGCAAATATTACACCAGCTAAAACGGCAACAACAAGGGTTTCGATTGTGTACTGCGCAGCAAGCATATCTGCTGAAATTTGGGGACCTTTTTTATGATTTTGATGAATTGTTTTTCATATTATTTTTAATCAAATTAGCATAATTCAAATTTTTTGGTTTGTTTGTATTTGCATTTTTTTAACATTGGCGATATTATTATTTTTTTGGAGTAGGTTATACACACACATTGCAGAACAACAACAAATTCAAATTAAAACGTAAAAAAAGAAAAAAAAATAAAAAAATTCAAATATTAAGAAATTATTAATATACAATTATTTCATATAAAAAAAGTCTACATTAAAGGATATGCATATTTATTTCAATATACTATGTACTTAAAAAATTATATATGTATGTAAGTTATTATATTAGTTATTAAAAATGAAAAACTTCACTCATAAAATAATGGCGACGCAAAAAAAGATGTGGTATGATGAATTCATGTCAAAAATACATTCATTTACATTTGCTTACCATCTTCAAATTATTATTTTTTATTTCAATTATAGCGTACTTATAATAAGACTGTATGTGTCTTTATATATTATTATGATAGTACAAATGAGAACGTATATTATGTTTGGGTATAAAAAAAGTATAAATGTTTGAAAATTATGATAAATGCTATATTACAAAAATCTAATTTAAACCTAATGGAAGTATCTAACAAAAAATATTTTTTAAGAAGGCTAATTTTTTGTATGATTAGAACTTTTTAAGTTAATCTTTCAAATTGAAATTGATCGAATTATTAAGCTAATTTACAGAAGTTTATTGCAAATGTAAATACAAAAATATACATAAGTATGATAATCTTTTTGCGTACGGCTTCATAGAAAAACTACCGTAACATATTACAGTATATGAAATTTTGCTTGTTTATTTGACAATCAACTTTATAAGAACAATTTTTAAATTTATTACATATTGTATACTTTACACTCTTATAGTATCTTAAATAAATATATGATATGCAATTGAAAATTTAAATAAATTTGCACTGAAAAATATCAAAGCCATTGACTGCATTGAACATATAATCTATAAATATAAACTATAAATTGATAATACCAATAAATGCATAATATAAATTAAAAATTGACAAACAAAATTGCAAAGCATTATTTTTTTTTCGATTTAAGCCAAAATTAAATACATAATAACACATTATTTATGTTAAGAGTTCAGTTTACTTATTTTATTGAAAAAAATTAAAACCGATTTACAAATATACAAATTACTAAACCAAATATACAAAAAGCGATTTACTAACATTAAAATTACTGCAAATTACTAAATATTCTTTTAAATATTACTAAAATAAAAAATATAACAAAAAAATTGACGAAATGGTATAAGATTTTTACCCTCAAAATTTTTTTCTTGCATTATGTTAATTATATTATCCAGATCTTTATTTTGTCGTTGTGAGCCCAAAATATCCATGTTATACCCTTTGTGTTCACCTAAATTTGCTGCATCTTTTGTTGACAACTTACCAGACGGACATGCAGCATGTTGACCAGTTGCAACATTTTGATAAAAATAATTTTCTTCTAACCATCGAGGTGCGCCATGAGATCTACATTTGCCAGCAATTTTGTCCCAGGCGCAGTATGGGTCTTGTAACGCAACACATTCACTACAAACATAAATGTGTAAAATAAAATTATTAATATAGAACTAATTTTTTCCAAGTATTAAAAAAGGAAAATAAAAAATAGATACAAACCTGCAACTTGTAATTTTTTCATTATTACACCGATGTAGTCTAATAGAAACAACTTGACTATCTGTAACAATAACTAATTTGCCGTCATCATAACTTCCATCTTTTGGTTGATCTTCAACAAATGAAACACATTTGCATTATAAATCTAGTTTGTACAAAATATAAAAAATTACCATATTGCATTGTTCTAACAATTTCCATATTCCTTATAGGTTCGCTCTGCGGCAGAACGTCTAATTCTTCTATAACAACAGAAGAAACTTTTTCATTTGAATCAGCAGATTCGGCATTTACAGCTTTAATTATTGTACCATGATCTATTTAAAAAAATCAATATAAGATTCAAAAACTTAATAAATTATAATTAAAGTTATAAATACCAGTTCCAACAAATATCACATCATACGTTTTACCACCGGGTGTTTTAATTTGCTGATCCACAGCTATGTGGGAAAATCGATATCTAAATTTTAAAGGAAATTTAATTTAATTATTTCGAAATTTGAAATTGGCATTACTTACTTCATACTAGTTCGTATTAAAATGGGTGCTCCAAAAAATGCGGGGACATTTTCATCCATCAATGAATGAGTTTTTATAAAATTTAATGTTAAATCTGGAAGAGTTCTGGAATCATTATGACATGATCCCGGTCTAGGATCTGGTACTTTAGCACTGTTCACTGGTAACCAGTTAGCATTGATGCCACTTTGCTCTTTAAAATTTCCTTCAAAGGTATCAGCAACATCCTTTCGAATAAAAAAATAACTTAAATTATTATTGTTAATGTTTGAAAATATTTACCTGCAATGAAAAAGCACAAACAGCTGATCCTGGTATAGAATTAATTGGCGTGGTGAATACACCATAAATTAATTTAGCATTAGAGTGACCATAATGACCCTCTACTAGATGACTTGCTGATTCTAAAATTTTCATTGAAGCTATTATATCAGCTGGGTAAGTTCTAAAAAGGAGGTCTTACGGATTTCATTGAAATAAAATGGAAAGTCACCAGGAACTGAGCAATTTAACCTTGATTTTAAAAATGATGTCCACCGATTGCGAAAGCGATGTGGTCCACCTTTATCCCATTTACACACTCTGGCAACACGAGAATAAACAGCCTATAATGAATATATAGTATACGAGTATAAAGTATTAATAATTGAATTTCTTAAATTGTTTTCTCAGTTTTTGTTTTTCAGAAAATAAGTGAAATAAAGCAAGATATTTATATACAATAAAAAGTAAATTCTTTGTTTATATTTAACCAAAGACATTCAAAATACAAGTTAGTTCAACACGAACAAAAAAAATTTTTTCCCAGTTTTTGTGATCGGGGACCAAACATTGGCAAAAGAATAATTATTATGTGTAAAAACACCAACAAAAATTTACTCTTTGTGAGTTATGAGTACTAGAGTATAATCAACGAATTAGAAATACTAAAGGAAGGAGCATCTTTGTTTCTATCTTGCTTACACTCACTAAAAAATCGTATCTTGAAAAAAAAACATAGTGAAGCCAAAAACTTAAAGTAACTTTCTTTCTTTACTCTAAGCATTGTCCAACTGAAATTAACATTAAAGGTCAAATGGTATTCTTTTTTTTTCTTAGAAAAGTACGCTGCGCTGTTATACTCGTATAAAGTAAACAAAGAAGATTTTGTTATTTTATTTATAAAATTAGTGCAGTTTGTAAATAAAAAATCATAAAATATTTAATAATAAGTGTTAAAAAAAGAATATTGTTAACTTATAAAAAGACTATAACAAGTGAGAAAAAGAAAAAGGTGTATAGTTAATTGTTATTCCCATTTGCAAAAACAAATTTTTTTTTACACCATATACATGAGAATATTATTTAATTCAATAATTAAAAGAAATATTTATTCAATAGCGCTTTTATTAATTCATAAGTTGTAATTTTATTAAGTTTTTAATTTTGCAAAGAAAACATTTGTTCTTTTTTGTTTTAAATTAAAATTACTTCGGATAACATAATTTTACCAGAACCCAATTTTTTTTTAAGCAAAATGAGTTTGTATAAACTCATTTACAAACAAATATTTTAAATGATCTTTTTTTTTGTATAATTAAAGTTTTCCTAGAAATGATGGATAGATAAATATATTTCTCCTTATAGAGAAAAGATTTGGTCACCAAAGAAAATATATAAAGACGTTTATGGTATATACAGATATTATAGAAGTTAATGATATTATGGAGCCCTGAGAATAAAGATACCTGTGGTATTAGGGAGTTTTATATAAAGATGACTGTGGGTACGTACTTATGTGTATTTTCTACATGTGTTAAATATGTGAGTTATTTAATACATGCACATGTACTTAAATGAAACAAAAAAGCCAGACAAACAGAAGGAAAAAAAAGGTGTTAAAAAATGAGAAAATAAAGAGAGTGAAAATAACAAAAGTAACACATAAGGCTCAAAATATACTTGCCAATGTTTGGTACCCCAGAATTAATTTTTTAAGCAGCAATTTATCTTATTGGTACATTTTTGCTTTTAAAATCTTTGATTAAACATAATTATGTGCGTATTTTAAGCTTAATAGTATAAAAGGTAATTCAGTTCTTACTTAATACTGAATGTGTTCTATATTTGACAATAAAGTACTGTACTTGCCTATCAAAAAAATATGTTTAATACTCGTAATATAGTACTTCTTTGTACTTAAAAAAAATAATGTCAGATTTACAAGATTTATTAGAATAAGTCTCTTTTAATTTTATTATTAATTTAATTAAAAATTTAAATTTATATTTCATTTTGAACTGAAAATAACTTTTGAAACTTTAAAAAAATTATAACAATCATAGAACTTTCACAAATAAAAAAATTTTTTTTATGATAATGTCAAATTTTCTACTGTTTGCAGTTGTGTCTTTCTGTTGTCTAAGTTATTAAAGTCCTAAGTTACAAATGCGAAAGCTTATTACCAAAAACATCCTACATTATATAAAAACTTTTAGCGAAGCTCAGATTTTGTTACTGACCGTATTGTGTATACAATAGGCAGGTTATGTGATGGCAACAAATTTTGCATATCGAGTTTTCGGTGGGAATGCACTTCTCCATAGTAGGGAAGTGTAAGTAAACTATTTTTAGCGACCTGTCGGTCTGTCGGCCTGTGTGTGCACGCGTGTATCTCAAGTTCTGCTGCACCGATTTTGATGAAATTTTATATGTAAGTTTATTTCCACTATGGCACGGATTGATCAACTTTTGGAATATATCAGGCATCGGGAACTGCACATTTTAGCGGGTCTGTTTTACATTTTTGAACGTATTCAACCGATTTACTTGAAATTTCATATATAACTTTTGCTCTACCGGCCGCGAAACCTCCTAACTTTTGGAAGAAATCAGGTGTCAGCAACTGGGCGTTTACTACGGGACAAATATACATTTTTGTGTATATAAAGAGAAATAATCAACGGATTTCATTGAAATTTAATATTTGAATTCTTCGTATTAAAACAATGAACATATAAATTTTTTGGAAAGATCAGGGCTCGATAACTGATTTGCGGGCCGATTTTACATTTTTCACCATATCTACGGAACGAACTTATGAAATTTCTTGAAATTTGATATTTGAGTTCTGGTTGTTACCGAAAATAACTGGCGAGCATTTCAGGGAATTCGGGTAGCACAAAGCGAAACTCTACTAAGAGCCAAATTTACATTTTTCTAGGTATGTTAACTATAAGCGTACTAATGCCCTAAAAATTGGAAAGAAGTATTTAACAGACATTTTGATAATATTCTGTAACACTTTCACTTAACTAGACAATACCCAATGCGGTCGGTTATGTGCTGACCACATCAGATTTTTTTTTCCTTACCTTTCCACAGTTGATGTATTCAACAGCAGTCTCACGAAAAAAGAAATATACAAAATCTCCTTGAGTGAATGAGCTTACAAAATTTGGAGCTGCAAAAAAAAAAATTAAAACATATTTTTATGCTTCCACAATAAAATTTTTTCTAAGTATATGTACTACGTGAGAAAGAAATTTTTGTCTTGACTGTTTTTTTGGTATTCTATTTGGAATGAACTAGAAAATCTGATTCCCCAAAAAGTAATCATTACTAAAAAAGGACTTGTTATTAATCGGTGGCAGCTTTTTTACATTCAGAAAAATAATAGTATATTTTATTATGTATGTTATTAATAGTAAAAATATTAAATACAAACTTTAAGTCATTGCTTACTTAAATTGTATTAAAATACTATTAATTATATTCTTTATTTAAATACATACATTGTAAATATTAAAGTTAAGAAATAGATTTATCCGCAACTTTTCGAATAATTTTTTGATTGTTAATTACTTTGGTTTAATTATCTAATATAAATTATTATATAATATACAACTTGATTTTTTAAATATTATACAGGGCGTTTCGCCTAATGTGGCAAATAATTTGAGGAATGATTCTTTGATTAATTTCCTGCAACCATCGACATAGAGTAACCATTGGGAGCTTGTTTTGCAGGCGATTGGTTGCTATTAAATTTCGATCTTACAATCAATTTAATTAGATTTGTCAAAGTCAGAAGATTTGTTTTTTTCTAAATGTTTTTTGAAAACTATTTTTAATTTTTTTGTTTCTTCGATGTGCTACAATGAAAACTTAAAGTTAATCTATATAACATTTTCATCTATTTCTAATGGTTTTGCCAATAAAGCGTATTAGGTGTGTTTTAAAAACATGCGAAAAATGCATAGTTCATAAAATTTATACAAATTCCTTATAATACGTACTAAATTGAAAAACTATTTAACGTATGTTATTTTTGTATGAAATGCATGAAATATGCAGGCTGTAGATTGAAACCGAGTATATTAACAAGAATTTTTATTTTAAAATTCTTAACTGGGAAAAATAAATATGAAATATAATTCAATTTTGTAAACTGATTCATTATACAAATGTTTTGGTTTAATTATAATTTCTATTTAACTAAAAATTGATACGAAATACAAAATATTCTGTTACCATTACTTAATTATTAATTTGCGACCACAAAATTGTACCATAAATCCAACGATTATGTAAAACGGCAGAAAACTTACCATTCAAACTTAAGCTATCGTACTGTTCAGTCTGCAATGGTTCCCTATAGATAATTGGATCACTACCACTGAAATCTGCCACTGTGCCTGAATATAATTCGTTGTCTGTAAAAAAAGACATTTAATAGGCAAAATTTCTTAAACTGCAAAAACATAAAAATAGTGGCTTAACGAGAAATTTATTATCTTACTTGAAACTAAATGTGTATAGAATAATTAATAGACTATTATTCTTCGTTAATCTACTATTCCTTAAAGTAAAGTTTCTTATCAAGAGTCCAATTAGAATCGAATAATATTTTTAGATTCAAACGTTAAACTAAATTCGATAAATATGTATACATATTTATGTAAATGAAACATTAAAATTCGATAAATATGTATACATATATGCACATTATATGTACATATATGCACATTATATGTACATCTAAATATATGTGCATAGGTTTGTATGAAAATCATTAATTTCAAATTATTTTTCTTGAATAAGTGTGTGTGAAGTATGGGCTATGAGTATTTTCTTTCAAACACATATAACAGCAAATGACCGAATTAAAGGTCAGAAAAATTTGTATATTGGAAAATTTTCACATTTTTTCAAAAAATTTTGCTATAAAAATTTGAAATTCAAAACAACACTTCAACTCACAAAGAAAATTTTGTCTCTTAAATTAATTATATGAAATTTTACCTTTATAAAATTTGCCTAGTGAGCTTTTTATATCTTATAAAGAAAACGGCATAATTATGCGTTAAACCGTATAAGTAATTATACTTTGTGAGGCTATTGGTCACGGTTCACAATAAATTTTTTTTATATGGATTTTAAATCCATATTAAAAATAACATTTTCCATTTTAAAAATAACAAAGAGATCTTCAAAAGAAAAACTTAATACAATTTTTAAAAGCAACTAGAATATTCGAAGTACAGTAATACTAGAGATTTATGTATCTTTTATGTTTATAATACATGTAACTCCCATTTATTATTTTTAATAAAATGCATATTTTCATGCGTGTAAACATTATTGTCTTACCTGCGAACACTGACGTTGAATTATGTTTTGGATCATACGGACAAACTGCTTGTCCACTTTTGGTTGTTTCTAATGTGTAATTGCTTGCATTAATTTGATAGTAATTGCACATGGGACGAAATGAATTTGTGCCACATACCAACAGTCTACCGGGTGACGTAACTACTAATATTCGAATATAATTTTGGCATGCTTCCTATTAAGTGTTTGATTTAATATATTGTTGTTTCAGTTATATAAGTGTGTATGAAGTATTTCGTTAAAACAAAATAAATCGATTTAAAATAAATGACAAAATAATCATTTCAATGATGTATAATATACGGTTATAAAAGTATTTTATGATTATAATAATTATGTTTATTAATTTATTTAGAAAAACATAAATTTGTTTATTACGTTTAGTACACAAAACATATTAACATTTTATGTACGTATACATATTTTAAATAACAGTATATTTGTATTTTAATATTTTTAAAAAGGTGTTTTTTAATGACACAAGTTAATATGTAAAACAAGAAAATGATAAACAAATACAGATATAGCAACAGCGACAAGAAAACATACAAAATCGATAAAAACCCAATAGCGATGACAATTGATGTTATTGATAGTTTGTATTAACGATAATTGTGTGCATAAAGATTGTCATGTGTATTTTGTAGTTACCATTTTGGATTTTCGATGTTTATTGTTGTTGTTCAATAATGATGACAAAATTCGGAGTACATGAAAAGAAAAAAGCAAAATAGAATATAAAATAAAATATGATTGATTTGTAGTTCGCTTTTAAACTTTTATTTTATAATAATTTATTCATATATTTTATGTATTAAAAATACTATAATACCATATACATAGGTTTTTATATATTAACCAATATGTGCGGAAAAAAGGAAAACAAAATGTCCTTTAGTGCACGGCAGGCGGAAACTTTTCAATATAAAATTAGAGAAAAGTGACAATTTTAAGTACACATAAGCATGTATATGTTTTTTATTTTAAAAGTCGTAAATACTTTTCAATTATATTGCTTTTTTAAAAACACCATTACTTTTTTAACGTTAAAAATAAAAAATTTAAAATAACAAATGTCAAATTTGATATCCCGTAAATCTAATTTAGATTTTCACAATGTATTTTACTCTGAACTAGTGAGACAAATTTTATTGTATACAAATTGTTGCTGTAGAGACAACTAGGTTTGAATAGGTATAACTCTAAAATAACATTAGCTCAATGGAAATTTTTTCATACTACTGCAGAACAGATGGATGACGTAATCAAAGTAACGAGTGAACCAGTGACCTACCGCTTTCTAGCCGGACGCTCTACCAACCCAGCTACAGAGGTGCGAAGAAATTGCCGGCCAATTGTTCATCACATTTCTTTATACTGTAATCCACATGATTACTAAAAATTGTTTACATTGAGATGCTACACAACTACAAGAACATATATATAAATAGGTATTGTGCCTATTTCTTCTTCGCAATACACAATTTACTAATACATAAATACGGTGTATTGAAAATTGATCATCGTACTATTTGTTAAGAAATATATTTTATGTTAGGTATTTTGGAATTAATTAGAAATGTTCATGGTAATTTGGGATGTTTGAAAAATAAAAACGATTAAATGCAAAATATATACACAAAATACAATTTATTTTATTTCATTTAAATGATAAAAATTTAATTACACGTTCTTACAAACTAAAATAATTAATTACAGGCGACAAAACATTTTTTATGTAAAACAAAAATAGTAAATACATAAAACAACTGTTTTAAAAAAAAAATCAAATTCAGTTTTTTTATTACCTACATAACACATTGACATAAAAAAATAAAATTTTTATTCCATTTTTTTTAAAACAAGTAATGTTTTATGAGAAAACCTATAAATTTTATTATATAAATATACATATGTATTCACCTAAATTACACAAAATTACTTTATTTTCTTTTATTAGAAAATTAAGTATTGTTAAATTAACTATTGTTAAAATCTTAACATTAGTAGGTAATTCATTAAATTATATTTGCCACGGCAACAGAATAATTTAAAGCTCTTACAAATTAAAAATACTTCGTTATCCCTGATGATCTCGTTTTTTGGAAAAGTAAATGTAGGTATAGCATTTACGTACTCTTTTTCTCGGAGACTATTGCTTTTGCATCCTTCCACGCAACACTTTCTATTTATATGAAGGTAATTAAATATACTATTATATTTTATTTAAATATGATTACTATAAAAACTTTATAAAGTACACAAAATCTTATTAATTTATTAAGTGATTTTTTCTTTTTTAATAAATTTTAGTATTATTTTTTTCAAAATCCACATTTGTTGCATACCAAGTATTACGAATAAAAGAAAAAAATTTATTTATAGAAATTAAAAAAACTTCATTTTATTTAATAACACAAGCTAATTTTTAAAACAAAATGTAATTTAAAATTTAATTTTAAATTAAAATTAAATTTTAAACAGCAAATAAATTATTTTACCCCTTAGCGTCACAGCCTTCCCGTACGAAATTTATATATGGACAAAAAAAATGCTATAATCTCAATTTTTGTAAAACCCTATTCTATAGACACAAATACAAAAATATTAATATGTCTTGTACATTATAGGAGTTTCTGGTCTGCGACAGATCCCTGAGGGACGGCAGAAATTATATGTGAATATCACTTGGGAGAGACCACTTATTGCATAGTAGATCGGCGTTGATGGGCCCATTTGGAAGGAGATCTAGGGTCATGCGATTACCCCCATTGATGATTGTAGAGAAAAATGGCAGAGTTAAGGATAAGAGAATGTGGATTTAAAAAATCAAATAAAATCTGCATCAACAGAAAAGAAAAACAAAGATGCGGAAGTTGTTGTATATGAAAGGAACGAGGAACAACTGGCTAGAGAAACTGACTGGATTCTAAAACCGAATAATGTAAAGAAGCGAAAGTAGAAAAGTCTCCTGAAATAACTGTCCTCAGAGACAGTTAAAAAAAATAATGAAATCAGCCCTAAAATGAAAGCTGAAAATCCAAAAAAACACAAGCCTCCTCCGGTTATATTGAGCAACATTATGGCTAGAAATCTCCATCCATCGTGTGAGCTAGAGGATATAAAATGGTTTGTATTGTAGCACTTTTCCCTTCAACAAGTGAAAATTCTTCTTTTAAATATATTCTATGTATACCATCATGCTATTAAAATTAATTTCATTCATATACAAAACTATTTATAGGATTGCATATCTTTAGGATGAACGATTTATGCAGTCTTTGAAATAAAGCAAAAAATAATATAAAGTGGGTTTAACATAATGCTCGATTTTAAGGGTTAATTGTGTGAGTTGAGAAAACTAATTATATTTTTTAATGTCATGGAATTTACCGTTAGCTTTTTGTGTTTATAGAAATTTGAAAAAGCTTGCGGTTTCGGAAATATAAAGTGTCAAAAATTCAAATTTTACAAATTTCAAGAGGCGATAACTTGAGAGGGGGTGAAGATGGAAAAAAATTTTCTTCTAACGAAATGAACTATTTTAATGTCTAAAAGTCTCTAAAATTTCAAGCTTCTACAAGCTGAGGTCTAGAAGAAGAACGACATCAAAAATTTGGAAAAAAAGGACTTTAGATAACGGTAAATTTGAACGGCCATTTTGTTTTTCTAAAGCTTAACTATAGTATACCGCGCTAGGGGAAGCAAGCCGCTGACTTTCTGCGTTTGCAAAATTTCAAAAATGCTTATGGTTTCACTGCAACAAATAGTTAAAAAAGGCCATTCTTAGGGTTTTGGGGGGCTATAACTTCTAGAGGGGGGGAGATCGGTAAAAATTTTGTTCTACGGAAATAAGTTTCTGGTAAAGATCTATGTACATATAAAATTTCAGCTTTGTATCTTCAAGGGTGTAGAAGTTTTGTAAGCAGACATACGGACAAACGGACGGACGGACGGACAGAGTGAAACTAATAAGCAATTTTTTCCAAAATTTTTTTGGAAAAGTACTAAAAAGAGCTTATTAGCAAAGGTTTTAAATGTCTAGATGTTATATAATAAATAAAATCAAAAAGAAAAACGAAAATGGAAAATATATTTCAGTAAAACTTCCGCTTTTTATGTTATCTTTTGACCATTCGAAAGAGATAACCAAGATCTATAAAATAGAATACTGGCAGCATGAGAGTAAAAATTAAAGCTCTTAGAAGCAGCAAATCTATTCCGCAATGCAAGAGATGCCAGAGATTTGGACACACACAAAAGTTTTGCCAAAGAGAGGCTAAATATGTAATATGTGCTGGTAATCATATGACAGCAGTGTACAATAAGAAGGAATATTTTCAGCCCAAATGCGCGAACTGCAATGAGGCACACCCTGCTAGCTATCGAGGTTGTTTGGTTGCAAAAGAATTTCATAAAAGAAGATTAAAAAAGAATAAAACCAAACAAAATCAATATAAATTTAACGAGCAAAGAACTCCAAAAATAGTCAGAATAACTACACCTAGCAAAATGTTAAAGGGAGTATCGTATTCACAAGCGCTTCAAAGCAACACCCTACAAAACAGGAAAAAGAAGGAGCCTGAGCAAAACACTCCATAAATAAAAAGAACTGCACAAATGATGCATAGTATGTTGATTAGAATTGACGAGATCTCTAAAAGATTATTAAAAATAGAAAATGCATACACTGAGGTGCATACGGGGACACCAAAGATATAGTAACTTGGAATGCTAATGGTATGCTTAATAAGAAACAAGAATTGGAGGTTTTTCTCAAAACGAGAAATATAGATATTTGTTTGCGGTACGAGGCTCATTTGACATATTATACGAGCCTTAAAATAAAAGGCTATGATTGCTATAAAGCGGTTCATCCCAGCAATCAGCCAAGAGGAGGTAGTGCAATACTAATAAAACAAAGTATAGAACATAATGAAGAATTCAAGATAGAAACGGCTGAAATTCAGCTTATTTCGATAAAAATTAAATCGACTAAACAGGACTTTAGTGTTGCTGCTGTATACTGTCCACCAAATGGCAGCATTAAGAAAAATACTTTTAAAGATCTCCTGTACAAGCATGGACACAGATATCTAATAGGAGGTGACTGTAATGCCAAACATACAGATTGGGGTTCTAGAATCACCTCTACTAGATGAAGAGAGTTAAGAA